TGCAGAAAGTTCACCCCGTTCTTGGCCCCCACACTGGCATCCACGTAGGAGAGGAGGGTGGTGGGGACCCGAATGTAGGGGGTGCGTCTCCTGTAGAGCGACGCGGCGAGCCCCACGATGTCCAGGCACACGCCCCCGCCGATGGCGATGATGGGCTCCGTGCGCCGGTCCAGGCTGAAGCTCTGCACCTCATGCAAGATGTTCAACACCAAGTCCATGGATTTTGTTTCCTCGGTGGTGGGCAGGGCGAGGATTTTGTGCTGGACGTTGTTCTGTTCGAAGTATTCTCTGACTTTGGAGCCGTAAAGTTTGTCGACGACTTCGTCAATGACGATGAAGCGACGCAATTTCCTCTTGCTGGCCATGGCCGGCTCTGTTTGCTGGGGATCAGTGATGTGGCCCCAGAGCAGAGTGGTGTTAGAGGGCTCCAGAATGTTGTATGTTTCTACCACTTTGTAGCAAAAATAGATGGGAGCTTCAACGATCCAGGAAATCCCACCTTCGGAGATGCACTCACCTCTGGCAAGGATCAGAAAACATGGTTTGAAATCACTATATATTCCTAGCTTGATCTTTGCATGTCTGAGCTAATTTAAGGATATTCCTGAGAGATAAAGAATGTGGAGTCTCCTGCCCATGCACTGCAGAAACATGGGGCTGTGAGGCTGGGACACCCCCATGAGTGTCAGGGCTTACCAATTTTGTTCATGGAGAAGCTCTCTGAGGTCTAAGTGAAGAGTTAAATGTTTGAATTCGTACATAACATTAAAAAGATACAGTCCAGAAGGGCTGGGGCATGTTTTTCATGCTAGAAGTTGAAAACCCATAAAGAATGAGCCAGCCCAATCATTTCAGCTTTCAGAAAGGGAGTGGGGAAGAGAAGAGGTTGCCAAAATTTTCCACATTCATTGAAGAAGCATCCTCTGATGGTGTATCTAGATGGTAGTAGTTAATTTATTCCTGTCTATCTATACACAGCCACACATCACATCTCCATTCAGACCAGTGTTTCTACAATGCCTTATTGAACTAGCAGATCTCTACCTCAAAATAGGTGTGATAGAAATAGGAAGTGCTCCTGTAGAGGGAAAGAAAATGATCTTGGGGTTGGGAAACAATTCCACATTGGAGTTTTGAAGGATAAATAAAAGCCAAAATTAGTTATCTATCTAAACTAATGAAAAACACAGCCATACAACCCCTTCCTTCTGTGGGATGGGCAAACCAGGGAAAAAACAAGTTAGGAACAAAAAAAGGAAAAAAAAGGCAGATGTGTTTTATATAAGACTGTTTTTTGAGCTGCATTTTGGTAAAAAATGAGTTTCTGTGATATTCGTTGGATAATCAGATTTCCCTACATGCCCAATTTCTTTTCACATGCCTGAACATTCACTTAGAGGTCAAAATAGATGCTTCTCTGCTTTCTTTACCAAATTGCCTCTTAGTTTTAAACTCTTAAACTCTCTAAGCCCTTAAACTCCAAAGCTGTTAAAGAAAACCAGTGAGGATTTACACCTTCCAGAAAATTTCAAATATGGTATCAGAAAAAGCATGGTTGTGTACATTTCAATGCACTATCTTACAGCTGTACTTAACTCCATGTGCATTCATCTCTGATGTGTGAACCTTTTAAGAGACAGGATGGTTTGGAATATTATTTGGTGGAATCATCTTTGGATGCTGGATGGTACAACCAGTACCCATTGCAACCCCTCTGCTCTATGAAAATCAGGGAATTTGGGACTGAACATGCCCTTGTGGGAGTATATGTCAGCTGAGGATTTTTCTGCGTGTTCTTGGGCCCTAGGTTCATCCTTCTATTGACTGAGGTCCAGCAGGCTGGTTTTGGGTCTGCTAAAGCCCTGCTCTAGCTGCTGCAGCTCTGCCTGGGTGATGCTCGTGTGCGGTCACTGCTGGTGCTGGTGAAGGTCCCTCTGACCTGGCTGAGAAAAGGGTTAGACTTGTGCCATTAAAATCTGAGCGTGACAAAGGCTGGAAAACTTCTGACATGCTGAAGAGAACTGCATTAAAAAAGATCTGCATTATGAATGGAGCTCCATGTGCTTGTGAGAAGGAGTATGCTGTAATTAAAAGATAATTAACTGGGGAGACATACTATCAGCAGAGAGCTGTGTGTATCCCTGGGGGAAAGTTTTGTCTCTGCTCTATCTGAAGCAGCATTAGGTGACTTCTGCAGTTTGAGGGATGTGTTAAGGGTTTTGCTCCTGTCAGTGACAGTTTATTTTTCCCACCTACCCATTTCATTTGTCTGCAACCACCTCTATAAACCCATCTGTCTCCCATGCCTCAGCGTGAGATTTTGCGCACACACAGATTGAATTTTCACAGAAGTGGAGGAAATGAGCCCAAGTGCAGCACACAGATGTCCCTGCGTAAGATTTTCAGAAGTTTAAAGAAAATTCCTGTCTACAAAAATGGAGGCTGTTGATAAAATTCCCTCTGTAACTCCGAGCTATGTCAAGGAGCACTGCATCTGCCCATGCTGCCATACTGCCCATGTTCCCAAGACATGTTCCCAGGTTTGTACGCATAGGTCAGGTTGGATGGGGCTTGGAGCACCCGGGTTTAGTGGAAGGTGTCCCTGCCCATCTCAGGGGTTTGGATTAGATGACCTTCAAAGATCCCTTCCAGCCTGAACTATTCTGTAATTCTGTCATTGCAGGTTGAAGACACCATGGCACCCAAGAGAGTTTTTCCATCCCACCAAGAAGACTGGCCAGTCTGGCTGGCCAGAACAACACAGGCTCCTTCCTATACTCACATTGTTGCCTCAGAGAGAGTGACCTCGTCCTCATCGTTGTTGGAGAGGGTTTCTCCTTTCTTGATGCGGCTCCATGTGCTCTTGACTCTTACCAGCTGGAAATCTGTCTGCTGGGGCTTCTGGGGCATGGTGGCTCCTGGGACTGCTGCAGCACACGCCTCCTCTGTCACCAGCATGCTTCCAGAAGGTGAAATCTCCCTACCCAGAGATCTCCCATCACTGGGTGCCTTTGAGGTGCTTTTTAAAGGCTCCAGGTTGACCAGGCATCAGGAGGGGAGGTCTCGTCTCCATGTGAGAGACTAATTACAAAACTGAGATTACCTAATCTGGGATGCATGTGAGGGGTGGCAGGGATGTTTGAAGACACGTGTGACTACCAGGATGGGGTTGTGTAATCAGCTGGTTTTATAATGCTTAAGATGTACAATAGAAGTGCATATATTAACTTCCAACATGATGCCTTACAGCAAATTTAAAGTTATGAAAGGCAGTTTGTGTGATTCTTCACATCATTCAGGAACCTCCTTTGCTGAGCAGAGCCTCTGATCTGGCTGCAGCTCTATACTGCTCTTATGGGATGAGACAGGAGCAGAAGCGTGGGGATTAATACCAGCTGGTTAAACCTCTTTTGAGTTCACATTACTGGGATTTTCTTGAATTAAGGAGCAAAACTATATATATAATAAATATTTTTGCTTTTATGGTGGGTTTAAAAAATTATCAGAGAGCATTTATCTCCTGAAGGGCTGTTTGGGGCATGAGCTGGGTTTTGATCTCCACGTGACTGGGGGATGCACAATTCACTTTTCCATGTGATCTTCCAGCTGGGGCTTTTGGAGGGCCCCAGGCTCAGGTTGCCACACAAAGTATTCCCTTGGCATACAGCTCTGTGCTCTGAGCACAGGAAGATCTTCCTTTGATTTCACCAGCAGTGCCTGAAGGCACAAACCTGTCTTTGCCACCTTCTCAGCCGTGTTTCTGAAAGCTGTCCTTGTTCAGAAACAAAGATCAAGAAAACCAAAATCAGATGTAAAAGCAGAGGCAGGAAAAAATGAGTCTTAAAGAACCCATTGGACAACACTGTGTCATTGCTTTGAAGGCTTAATTGCAGCCAAACTCACTTTGGAATCTTCATCTATCTCAAAATTAATATTGGGAAAAAGTTGCAAGAAAAACCTCCAAAGCCATGTAGCCCTGCTCCAAGAAGTGCCTAACTCCTGACTCCAGTCCTCACTGCTGGCTTCATCTCCAGATGGCAAAGTGCTTTTTAAAGAGGACAGGCTGTTAACCCCATTTTGTAGAAGAAGAAAATAGAGTCTCAGAAGTGAAATAATTTTCCCAAAGTCACCTTAAAGCTCGTGCCCTTTAGATGGCACACTAAAGCTTGTAGCCTGTTTACCAAATACTTGTCCGAAATTTTAACTCCCAATCTAAATACAATTTTTATTGCTTTCAGCAGGAACTGCAATTCTAATGCAGTTTGTTGTTTACTAAATCATAAAATAGAACAATCTTAGGTATGCCAGGAGGTCTGTCTTTTTCATCTTGTTTATTTGTTTTAACTAATAACAATACAGTCAGCATTGAGTCTTCTTTTATTTGCTTTCCTTTTACTCTTTCCTCATGTGCATTTACTTATTTTCTATTTACACTTCCCTATTCTATTCTGGGGACACTGAAATATCTTCTGTTACATTTGAGAAGTTGACAAATTTACATTGGTTACTCCAATGTGTCCCTGTACAGGGCAGTGGTGACCTTGTGGCTAAGGACCCCTTGTAGATAATCTGAGGTTCAGTCTTGGGATGTTTTTGGCCTCATACCTGGTGGTTTAGCTGGGGCATGTCTGTGATATGTAACTAGAAGGTTATGAAACTGCCAATTACTTTCTTGAGAGCCAGCAGCTTCCCAAGGTCAGGATGTGAACTTACTCTTACATAAAGCAAAGGCACTCACAGTCGGCTCTTTTGTTGTGCCTTTCTCATGTCAGAGGCTGTTGGATCTCACCTGCTGCCTGTGCTCTGGGTGGGACAGGAAGGTGCAGCCCCAGCCTGGAGCCATCCTCCCCACACAGCCTCTCCCCAGGGCTGGGGCTCTGCCCAGGTGATTGAGGGAGGAGACTTTGTCCCCTCACCAGGCACCCAAGCACCGACCTCCTGCTCTGCAGAGGCAGCAAACCCACCACAGCATCCTCTGAGGCCAGGGGACAAGAAGGAACATGCACAGCCCTTCAGGTAAACTCCCTGTGTGGGGTGGGGAGCTCCAGGAGAGCGGTGTGACAGGAGGGGACACCGTGTGATGCCCTAGTCCTGGGTCCCCACCTTCCCCATGGAGAGGGTGCCTGCAGGCTCTGTGGCTTGGCAGCAAGGAGCAGAGGGTGGGTTTGTCAGGGAGAGGAGAGAGGCTGAGCACGAGATGGGCTTGCAGGAACCTGGAGTGGAGGGAGTGGGACAATCCCAGGAGAAAGGAATATGGGATGCTTGCAATGTCAAGAAAGCTTTGGCTGGGACTAGTTTCTGATGGATTGTCATGCTTTCTTCAGAAATAATTTCTCTCCCTCATGGAGCAATGGGGAGATTCAGCTTTTCAACTTATTTTCCAGCAGTAGAGTCTGTAGAAAATGCATCAGCTAGTGTGTATTTTCCTTGCTTTCCCCTGAAGTTCAGTCAGGGTTTAGATCCCTGGTTCATGCCATGAGCAGCAGCACCCTCTCTCTGGCTGCTTCCTCCTGCACCCGCTCCATCCCTAAGCTCCTACCTGTCCCCAGGCCAACACTGCTGGCTTGCTGCAGGCTCTGGCACTGTGGATGCTGAGGCTAAGGCTGAGCAGGCTGAGCTCTGCTGGGACATGCCCTCTGCAATGTCTGATGGCCACTCTGGTTTTGGCCGCACTGCCCACCCACGCCTGTCCCCACATGGGCCATGACATGCCCTGTGCTGGGACATGTGTTTACACACTAAGGCAAAGAGGTGAGGACTGGGATAAGCTGTTGTCAATGCCTGAGGTGCCTTGGTGAATATGATGGCTGGAGCTGTACAGGATGGTTTTAGCAGAGTGGATTTCCAGGTGCTTAGCACCAAGCAGCTCCTGCCAAAGTGCTTGGCACAGGAGCACCAAACAGTCTGGCAGCAAAGTGTTCAGGTGGATCAGGTTCAGTGCTTTGCCCTGGGTGGGAAAATGGGCTCTTTTGGAAGGCATTGCTGGGGCTACAAAACAGATCTAGAGTCTGGAAGGTGAAATGAGGATAGCCCTAAAATGGGAACCAAAGGTTTGGTCTTTTTGGTCTCATGTCTTTGCTTCATTTTTGCCAAATCCAGCCATCTTTTATCTCTGTGCCTCCTTCAGGTGATCCCCTGCAAACAGTAAAGTGTTCTCCTCTTTTTTCCACCTACAAAGTGCTATCTGAGCACAAACTGCAGAGTTTAATTGAGATTCTGGAGCAGCAGGTCCCTCCATGGCATGGCACTGCCTGTCTGCTCAGGGGACACTGATGTCCCACACGTACAATCTTGCAATCCTAACTCCTGACTTTGGTGTGAATCAAAAGTTCCTGATTTCAGACAGAGTAGAAGCTGCAATTTATTGTTCAGTTTAGTTATAAAGCAGGGTGGCAGTGCTCTCAGCACCTGCCCAGGAAGATGCTGGGAACCATTCTGCTGGCAAGAACAGTCCATTTTAAGAATTGCCACCTTATCTTCCTTTATGAAGCTGCTGGAGACCTAAAGCAGCCCTTTCCTGCTCTTTCATGGAGGGTTATTTTCAGCATTTTCTTCTTCTGAGTGAGCTGGTTTTCATTTCTCCCACTGATGATAATGTACAACTAGATGGGAAATGGAAAGCTATATCTGTGCATATGTAGATCCATAGACACACAATCAGGAAATCTAATTTAGTGCTTAATATGCTCCAGCAGTTTTTCTCGGGTTGTGTAAACTATGCACTGAAATGAAGCACTTTTTCCTGGAATAACCTTAAAAAAAATTAGTTACATAAAGTTTAGCTCACCTTCATGGGCCAGGCAGCCAGCCCTGAGCTCTGCTCTGACTTGTCTGCTGCTTGCATAAATGAGGGCAATTCTGACCTCTGCTGTTGGCCCAAAGCATCACCAAGCTGCAAAAAATGCAGCACTCCCTGCAAAGGTTGTGTAAGCTTGGATGGGGGGTTGCTCCTGGCATGCCCTGCCTGTGCCCTCTCCCTGCAGCACCTCCTGGCTCTCACGTTTGGTGTTATAACACAGCTTACAAAACAGCCGAGGGCAAGTCTTGTTTCCTCCCCTTTGTGTGACAGGCAATCCCTGTCTGTTACTTATCCAGAAGCAGAACATGAAGATTACTAAAAGCTGACATGGATTATAAACATGTTTTTACCCCTAAATTAGCAGGATGCCTCTGAGTGCTTGGCAGGAAGGATGAGAAGATCCCAACCTCCAGCACTCTTCAGCTGAGCAGTGGGAGCCTGGGGATGCTCTCTCATGTAGTGGTGAAAATGCTGCAAGAAGACTATGTGTCCTCTTCTCTGGAAATGTAGCTGGGCTGAGGTCAGCAAACCAGCATAGTTTGGGAAAGGGGTGCAATTCCTGCAGCTGCATTTAGTTATAAAACTGCTGGAAGAGATAAAAGGTTCCCCAGATGGTTAGAGATTGGGATGAGATGTAAATCATGGCATTGTATCACAGAATCACTGAATGGGCTGGTTTGACAAGATGTTAAAGCCCATCACATTCCACCCCCCTGCCATGGCAGGGACACCTTCCACTGTCCCAGGTTGCTCCAAGCCCTGTCCAGCCTGGCCTTGGACACTTCCAGGAATCCAGGGACAGCCACAGCTTCTCTGGGCCCCCAGCATCTCATCACCCTCTCAGAGTAGAATTTCTTCCTAATAGCTAATCTAAGCATACCCTCTTTCTGTCTAATCTAAACATACCCTCTTTCTGTCTGAAGCCATTCCCCCTTGTCCTGTCACTACATGCCTTGTAAATGGTCTCTCTTCATCCTTTTTGTAGGCTCCATTCCGGTATTGGAAAGCCACAGAAGTAAAAGAGATGTCTTTTTTCACTCACTCCATGTAGTTCTCTGCAGCTTTTCTATCACAGGCAATAAAACCCTGCCAGGGGCAATCTGCTCCACCCCAGCCTTGGCCTGTGTCTCACAGGTGCTTTCATAACCCAGCACGTGCTCTCACACTTGAGGAGTGGGGGAGTTCCTCTGAACCTTGCCTCACCCTCTGGGGCCACAGCTTGCTGTGATCCATGATGGATTGCTGCCATAAAGGTTTTCTGGGATCTCAGGGCAGGTTCAGTGCCATGGGCAGCATTGCTTTGGCTCCCAGAGCAAGGTGATCTGGATCTTGCAGATGTTTCCACAGCCTTTGAAATGCTGGCACATTGTGTGGTGCAGAGCAGCCTCCCTGGCACAGACACAGCTTGGGGACACTTGTGCATCCCGTGGACACACAGATCTTCCTTTTCACAAAGCTTCGCCCACGGCCTGTGTCTCCTGCCTGGTTTGGCAAGAGCAGTTTTGGAAGCATTCTGTTTCCTCCAAGGAAAATTGGACTTGAAGGAGCAGAGGTGGTGTGCAATTGTTTGGTGTTTGATGTTTGTCTTGGAGCTTTAAAAGCAAAATTAATGTGTTTAAAACATTCTTGTTCTTGATCAGCTCTGAGGGGAAAAAGGGAGAATGCATGCTGCAAAACTCTATTAGAAGTATGAGATGCTTTCAGTTTGAAAAGGTTTTCATGATTGTTTTCATAGCCCTCCAAAACCCTATATTTTGTGTTTTAAAAAAAGCACACCTATGTTTATGTACTTTAAACTCCACTTCCACTGATTGAGCAGTTACAAAATCATTATTCTTCCTTTTAATTTCCATTTCAGAAACTCCGGCTGGGCACATTGCTGAGAACCTTCTCAAAGCCAAAGAAATAGCCCTCAATAACCCTCATGTACCTGAACAGCTCAGGAATTACTTACAAAAAGCTCTTGATGTTGCTCTTGGACTAGACCCTTACCTGGATGCAATGGCAGCTTCCAAGAGGTACAGATTGTCCTTTGTAACCTGGTGCTTTTGTCTGTGATGGGATGAATATAGTTTTTTTCTGTGATGGGATGAGTATCTTGTTAGATTTTCTGTCCAGAACATGCCACAAATGTGGGACACAGCAGCAGGAAGTGGAATGAGGCTTAAGTGCACTCAAATATGTAGCAAAGTGTGCATGGATGTGTGTCTGTGAGCCCACAGCCTGCAGGAAAGGAGGTGAGAACTAAAAGCTTTAAGTATAAATTTTTGGAGATATTCTCCCAAGAGATTGTTGACTGTGGCAGTGTCTGAGCTGCAGCATTTCCTGGGGAACACCAACCTCCACACTGTGCTTGCTGGAAGGCTTGAAGAGTGAGCCCCTGGATCCAGCTGGGAAAAATTAGGAATGAAGAAATCCTGCACCTCTGGATCCACCCTCTAATAACAGCCTTTATATGTGGCTTTTATCTCCAAGCACTCAACAAACATTAATTAATCTGCTAACTAAATTACTCTGGTAACTAAACTAATTAATTAAACTAATTTAAGGTATCATTAATTCAGAAGTCCAACTGATACCCTCATTATTCTTTTTTGAGCTACAGTATATTACCCAGCCATGTGGGGTCTGCTAAACAATTCCCATTTATCAGTGTACATTTTGATATGTGGAAAAAGCCAGTTCTGTCTAAAATTGACAATGTGTAAACTGTTCCAGGCTGTGGATTATGGGAACGCTGAGCGTTCTCTCTGTTGCTGAAATAATAGCTGATAGTTGTTTGACTTACACTTGCTGTAGGATAATAGCTATACATTATCTTATTAAAGTTGTTAAAGCATTTGTGAGGGGCAGAAAAAAGGTTATATGAAATGTTCTACTCTTTAAGTCTTGGATTATCTGACTGTGGCTGACACGGGTTATGAATTCTTTCTCATTTTACTGAGGAGCGGAGGGGGGGAGCTGGAGGAATAAACCCACTGAAATGGCTCTAAATTCTGGCCCAAAGAATGATCACCATCCATTTCTGGTGGTTACTTTCTTCACATGGGGTAATCTAACCTGTCTGGAGGCTATGGTCTTCTTCCAGTCCTCTATTGCCTTCCCCATGTAATAGGTAACATCTCACTTCATCCAGAGACATTGTCACAGGCCTGACTTCTGTGAAATAGCATCTGCAGGCACTCTGCTTTTCTGAGCACTTTGTGAGGAAAAACATTTTTTTTCCTGCCTTGTAAGAAAAATTTAGATTTTATATCTTTCCCTTCTATTCTGCAAAGAAACCTTATTTTTGGCAGGAACAAAACTAATAATTGTAGAACTGAACAAAACCTAGCCAGGATAACTGAATTAATTCATTCCAAAGCAGCAGATAGATAGAGATCTGTCTGGGACCATCTGAAAACGGGAAAGGTTTGGGGTTGAACAGTGGGGAATTATTTCCTTTAGTCCCATGTTCTCTCCTTCCCAAGCCCCTATGGCTGGGGTGGCTGCCAGAACTGAGATGTGCTTATTGCCAAACTACGTTCTCTTAGGACTGGAATTTAGGATACTTGTGATGCTTCTGGGCTAATTTTTTTATGGTCATGCACAGATGGAGCTTTTCTAGGAGTTTCCTCTTGGTTGTTGCTTTTTATGCTGGATGCTCAGATTTTGGTTGTTATCATAATACCGAAATGTCTTTTTTTTTTTTTTTTCAGAAAAACTTCACCTGAGCACATCCCAGGGGATACTGAAGGAGTTGAAAGCAGTGTCAGGCTGCAGGAAACACGTGCCTCTGGCTCTTTGAATGGCAAGTGGTTCAGCCAAGAGGGTAAAAATGCACCAGATTGATGTAAAGGCTGTCACTGGAATTGAAGCTATCATTCTTTACTTTGTCTTGAGTAAGGGGAGGATGAATGCCATGGAAATGCTCAGAAAATGTGGGAAATTACTTATAAAGAAAGATATGAGCTTCCTGTAGGCTTTGAAAACTCTGGCATGAGTTTTCCTGTACCCTGCCCTCCATGGCCTTGTATTCTCTTACATGTGCCCACACAAGAGTGCTTTAATTCCCAGTGCCAGCCCCAGCCCTCAATCAACAGCAAAGAGATCATCATCCTTCCTGGAAGGGAAAGGGATGGAAAAATGCTCCTGGTTTGGGTTTGGGGTGTCTGATAGTAGTTAATATGCTTTTTGTGGTGGAGGTGGCTGTGGCCAAGCACAGCACCTTTACAAGTAGAAATACCCAGGCTTGTATCCTCTTATAAAGCCTATTACACTAAATCTATTCCCAGATTCATTCTTCCCAGATGTTCTCATCTTTGGAGTAATATATCATCCCAGTGAAGTACTCTTATAATCTATTACACTAATACATTGTTCGAAGGACACCACTGATGATAAATTTCTTAAATGATGGTGCTGTCTAGGGATAATGACTCTAAGAGCAAATGCAAGGTAATGTAGTGATTTTTTTTTTAATGCTGGATTCCAGAAAGAATATGGAGCCATCTCAAAGCCATTTTCATATGGGGGGAATGTTAAAATATGCAATATTTCAAGCACTATTTAACAAGCACTTGAACAATAGCAGCATTGATGATAAAGGTTCTACATTTAAAATCAGTCCTTTTATTCTGTTGTCTTTTAGCTGCATTTTTAGATGAAATTTTGTCAGATTCTGTGGTTAAACCCTTATTTGAGAGTGTTTTAATATTAGGGGTTTTTTAATGATCACTTAAAAGGCACATCTAATTTTTATTGTGAACAAAGTATAGTCTTTCTCATGGTTTTATTTTCAAATTTTTATTCTTGTCTTTCCACAGGCCAAATTTTTAGGATGTTTGTCCATATGATCAGAGCCAGGAAGATATTATTAATTGGCAAGCCTAAAGGTTACAGTATCCTTGCTATGGCAGAGGAATTGCCAGACAATGGCAAAATCTTTGCCTGTGCAGAAGAGCCCTATCTCGGAGTGTACAGCCAGGAGGCATTTGATCATTCCCCAGATGGCAAAAAGATAAGCCTGCGAGTGGGACCAGTGGCAGACACCTTGGAGGTAAAATCAGCTGGAAAGGGGATTTGGGAGTTCTTGTGAAGAGCACATTAAAGAATTTCAGGTCTTATTCCCTGCCCACACGACGCTGGGTGGTGGCTCCGGTTTCCTTGCAAATGTGTGAACACACTCTTGCGCTTATTTCTTATTTTCAATATATGATGGGGCAGCTCTGTAACACAAGACAGTTTTTCTCCCTTTTAACTAAAATCCTGCAGCTTTTTGATCAGAGGGATCACAGGCTCTCAATGTAGGTCGGTAGGCTTCAATGGCAGTTTAACTCAACAAGGGTTGGCTTTGTTTCAGGTCCCTAATTCCAAATATAACAAACAGGAAGAATGGATCTGTACCCTGCTGAGCCAACTTTTGAGAAGGACAGCTTGCTCCCAATGTTCACAAGAGCTGGGAAGCTCCTGGAGAAGTTTCCAATTCTGCTAAAACCTCTCACTATTTTTCCCCACAGCAAACTCTTAGATGAATTAGACCCCATTTTCTCACTTCCAGAGCAATGTGATTAGCCTCAGACAAATAACTGCTGTACTTGTTTCATTCTGACTGGTGACTTTGTTCCAAATAGAGAAATCTTATGATTACTGGCAGCTCACATCTAATTCCAGTTTGTGGGTCTCCAGGATGCTGCTGGGGGTCCAGCATGAGACAGGTGGTGCCCATACCAGGTTCATTAAAAAGCCTTTGTATTATTAATACAAATCAATTTGATCTGATTTCATTTTCAATCAGGATGTGTCAGTGTGAGCTTGATTGTAACTTTATTTGCATTAGCAGGCACCATATTTATTTCTAAAATGAAATGGCCAGGAGCTTTCTGACCTCTGGTTTTCATGACCTCCAAGTTTGATAAGAAAGAAACAAAGAGCTTTGCAAGTATACGAAAAAACGAAATGTTACAGATCACCTGCAATGTGCAGCATTTAAAATCCCAGCTCCCCGCAGTGAGTGTGAAATTAATTGAATTGCTGTTGCTCTCTAGTGCCCATTCTGTGCAACTGACTTACTGTGACTGAATTAAAATATCTAGAGGCAGGCAGAGTACATGCTGTGTAGAGATTAAAGAAGGGAGCAAAGACATGAAAATTAAATCCTTAAAACAGAATGTTGCAATTGATTTTATATCCTCCAGTTGCAACATGAAGGCACATCCTGACCCCAGTTCTGCAGGTGCTCAGAACTTCAAATACCTCTTGGAGCTGTTGGGAACAGACATGGTCGTGTTTGGAAGGAGAGCTCCCAGCATGGGGACACCTTTCTGTGCAGGATTTCTGCACTGGGCTCTGAACTTTTGCTATTCAATGTGACAGGCGTTTTGTCATCAGTATCAGGACAGTCAGGATTGTCCTACAGGTTTAATTCACAATGGCTGTAAATGCTGAAGCAATGAATTTGGTGGCCTCTCTGGTGCACTTACATTTTGGGCTTCTTGAGGTTTGCCCAGCTGGAGGGATGCCTGGGTAGGTGGAAGAGGCTCAGCCTCTGGACAGCATGCTGCCTTTCCCCTCCCAGATGACCAGTGTAGCTTGGAGACTGAGCAGGCTTCCTTTGCTGCCTCGTGGGCAGCTGAAAGGCAGGAGGACAAGGCAGGAGACAGGGAGGGATGGCACAGCAGGACTCTCACAGCTCAGCTTCAATGAGGAGGTGGAGAACATTTCAGTCCCTCATGGTCTGTGGGGAGGCTGGTCTAGAGCAGAGCTGGCTAACATTTGCTGAGGAGCACAGTGAGGTTTAGAAGACCTGGATTCTGGCAAAGATTGTCATGGCTGCCTACAGAGTCTGCAGCCCTAGGTGTCATTCTAGTCCCTTTGTAGAAACTAGAGGGCAGAGCTGGTCACTCACCAATTGCTCTTTGGAGGTGTCTGATGCAGCTTTCTTGCTTGGTGATGATGGCTGAATTTTGCTTCTAAGCCAAGTACAGCAAGGAAATATTTCTGCTTATCTGTTGCTCCTCAAATTTTCGCAGTTATACAACTCCTGGAAGCAGGATTTGCCTCACTGCCCTGGCCCATTCAAAGCAGGAAAATGTCATATGGTCTATAGATTAACTACCTGTCAGGGAACTCCTTCTCTGCTGCATGAAGCTGTGATTCAGCATGTCCAAACTGTCAGAAGGAGTATGATCTCTCCCTTCTGGTGTAGAATTAGTCTACCCAGGAGCTGCATCCCACCCTCAGATATCATCCAGGTGCTGCAGGATATGTCCAGGGCTGCCCCACAACTGCTTCTGCCCTTTACAAGGAAGCTGTCAGATCTTGCAGCAGTTGCCATAAGGATGCAACAAACCTATTCCAGTGCACCTCAGACAGTGGGGCCATTGTGTCACCCTTGTGGTTTTGGCTCTTTCACCTAAATCCATGGCTCAGCGGGGCTGGGAGCAGGCAGACAGCAGAGCAAAGGCAGCACAGCAGTCCATGGCAGCACCTTGGCCAGGCTCTCTGAAGCCTCTTGGTGCTCCCTTGTGTTATCACACAGCCCTGGTAGGGTTGGCCTGATTCCCTCCCTCTTGTCCCAGATCACAGCCAGTACAAAACATGAGGGATTTTGACCTGTAAATGCTAAGTATCAGACAGGAGACAGAGAGCTTAAATACATGGTAAGGTTCACTTGGTACCTGAGGGCATGGTGATAAAATTCCACCTTCCCCACTGATGATGGACAGACACTGCCAAGCTGGGTGAGGTCCCCAGCAGAGCACAGAGCCCACACAGACCACAACACAACCCTCTGTGCCCAAGGGCCTCAGGAATTCTACATAATATTTTGAAATGTGGACTGAGGGGAAGCCTTTCTTCAGGTGCAAGTGTCTTTGGTGGGAATTAGCTACCTATTCAACATGTCCTGGGCCAGTGTTTAAAAACATTTCGCAACAAATCTTCCCTTAAGTCTGGACTCTGCTGAGCCGTGCCTGGGTAATGTGCCTTGCCATGGATCTGCTGCCAGCAAGAGCCTGATCCTGCACAAAGAGCTTCCTTCAAATCCCAGTGGACTTTTGATGAACAATGGATGCAGGATTGAGTCTGGAGGGAATGCAAACTATCGGGAAATTATTCCCATCCATTATTTTGATCCTTCCATTTTAAAATTGAAAATGCAACACAAAAATAACACGGTGTTTGCAGCCAATTCTGCTGATTGCAGGGCATTGTGGAAGCATGTCAGGGTTTGCTTTCTTCTTTTTTCCCTCCTGTTAGCAGACAGAATAGGTGAAGAGGTTGAGCTGCAGATCTCATTTCTCCTGTTTTGCTGCTTGTGAAGTCTGCCAACAGAATCCACCTTGACAAAGTCAAGGACTCTGCGTTTAATGTTGAACTGAGTGAATAAATTATGCATGAAATTGTGTCGGAGTCTCTAGTGTGCTCTAGAATTGCTCCTTTTGATATGAAAGGTTAATTCAGAAAGGAGTCCAAAATAGCTGGAAATTGTGGGGATAAGTGGATAGTATTCACTGTTGTGAGCTGTTATTACTAGAAATTGCATTCCCTCTCTGGCTTCCCTAGAGATTTCGCTTTGCTGGTGAATATAAACTGTACTCAATAGAATAGCATTTAGGAGTAACAAGAGTGTATGTCCACACACAGTAAAATATTCTAATGGTGTTTTAAAAGGAAACTGTACTTTTTCATGTATTCTGTGCACCCCAAGGATGGATTGCTATTACATTTAGGTCAAGAACAAGGCATAGGAAAGGTAATAAGTTTTGAGTACATCTTTATTACAAATATGCTGACTGTATGATCCATATCAAAGGAACTGGGCAATCATTTTTTTTCTGATTGAGTTTGTATGTGCCTTATGAGAGTGTTTTCTCTGATCAGGACTCCAATCAGGTTTGCTCTGAGTTTTGGCAGAGAAGATTCATTCATGTTTTTATTCGAGATGTCCTCTCCCATATCTTTTGCTGTATCCATCAGCAGTGCTGCTGTGCCCTTTCTCATGGTCACTTTTGGTACATCTCCTCAATGGAATGCAGTGTTACACTTCTTTTTTTTTTTTTAATCTCAAAGGAAGTTAATGACTCACTGTAAGCAAAAGCATTAATTTTAGCCAAGTTTGCTCTGAATTAAAACTCTTATTGCCATCTGTTACCATCTATGATGACTCTGTAGCAAGGAGCAGGGATTGCACTGTAAACACTCAGGAAATTAGTTTCAGCAGGATATTTTGCAGGCAGATTATTTCCTTCTGGATCTCAGCTTTTCTCACAGTTGGAGGCATTTGGGCTCTGTCTCTCCAAGCAAAGGACAAGGCATCTCCAGAATGCTGTGAGATCCCAGGCAGAGCCTGGCCCAGTCTGTGCTGGGAGGGCCAGGGTGTCAATCCCTCCTTCTAAATCTCCTCATCCATACTGGACAGCATGGAGTTATCCTCTCCAGCACTGTACCCATCTTTCCAGTGCTTGGCTCTGCAGTTAGAGCAGATTTTTTAATTTCTGGCTGTTTTTGTTCAGCAGTGGGTGCTGGCAGTGAGGAAACCCTCTCCAGGGTGATGCCCTGGCCATGGTGACCACCTGCCTGGATGACCTGTATTTTGCTAGCCAAAGGGTTCCAGGAAACACTTTCCTTTCCCTGTGGCTGTTATCCTGCTGTTTAGAACCTGCTCTAAATGTAAGGCTGGTTTAAGGAATTTAATGGATTCCTCTTATAGCTCTGGAGCTGTTGCTAGCTAAATATGGAAAACCCAGCAGCAATTATGAAGCTGTGGAAACAAGAAGCCCAAATGATGGCAGGTCCCAGGACAAACTCAGGTTATTCCTTCCATGTGTCAGGTATCTGGATGCCCAAGTGACCTTTCTGGATGGCCATTCAGGACTCAGTGAAGTGGCAGAAGAAAAAGGCCTTAGAAACCATGGCCTGGCACACCCAAGGACAAGGCTGGTGTGCAGTGGTTACACATCCAACCCAAGCACCCTCCTGGGATGGATGCTGGGATGTTGAAAGGTGGTTTATCTGTATCAGAAGACAGATAAGAAAGATATAAGCTGTCAGCAGGTAGGCAGTACAGAAAGTGGGCTGAAATGAGAAGTCCAGCTAATATCCAGAGAGCTGCACAACTCCATATGGACCTAATGAAGTCATTGCATAAAAGTGAGATTCTTTTTCATTAGGGAGCCATCCCACAGAGCAGGAGTAACATATGTTCAGCAATGGCCACATCTGTTTCTGAATGTCTGCCCCCCACCTCCTCCACCCAAGAAGGTTACAAGTCAGAAAGTGGTGATAAGTCATGATAATTACTTGAATTTGGCTTTGGCTCTTCTCCCTGTGGAATGAGACCTCTAACCTCTCTTTGTGATGGGCTCCTGCACCCAGCTTTCATCCTCTGCCCCCTCCTGAAGTACCTACATTGGACAAACTGACTGAGGTGCAACCTGACACAAGATACTCTTCCACAGTAGCAAAAATGTTCCTGCTGCTTTCCACCAATGTGGCTCAAGAGGGAGCCAGGGCAAGATTTTCTTGTTGGTCACAAAATGAAAAGATGAATCCCAGGATTCCAGATGTCCCAGTTTCTACTACATTTATAATAAACCGGCATATATTTGGCCTTAAGGTCTTCTTTCATTATGGTATAATGTGTCCTAAATGTGGGTTTGTGAATGCTTTCAGCAGTTTCTGTGCTATCAAGCATCCAGTTAAGTGTGACTATCCAAGCTTAATTCCCCCACCACTAACAAGCTGACAATGACTTTCCTCTATTTCCTTGTCTGATCCACACACTCCTGCCTCAGAAAAGCTCCTGAAATCTCTCTTTGGGAGCCATTAACCTTACTTACTCCCAAAACCAAACCAGTTTTTCACATTCTGTTGCCTTTGTTGATTCTTTTGCTGGTACATCCCAAGGGATGCCTCATCACTCGTTGTGCACGATGTCTCTAAACACAAAAGGGAAATCTGGATGCAAGAAACACCGTTAAAAGTCGTGGTAGAGACAGTGAGTTCTGGAAAACAGAACTGTTTCTCTTTTCCCTTGAAATGCGAAGACTTGAAAGCATTTCTGCTTGCCGAGATAGGTGGATGAGCTGTTGTTTCATTGCAATGCACACAGATGCAGTTAAATAGTCCCAGATGGAATCTGAAATATTCCATAGCAGCCTCTTGGGCAGCGAGTGCATTAACTGCCACAGGAGAAGGCTGTAAAGGCTCCCATCTGGTCATCCATCAACACTTTTATACATTATCATCAGCAGCCTGCTTGGAGGGAAGGTGTGCCACATTTCTGAAAATCCAATTAGATGATAGCAGCCAGTTCTCTTTTATCCTCTCTGTTGCTGAGCCATCCAAAGCATTTTTTTAGATTAAAGAAACATCATTTTCCTTCACAGGGGCTGTGCTGCTTTATCTCTATCATGACCTGTTCTTTCATGTGCTTTATAATTCTATATTAATTAGGATTTCAACCTTTTTCCTGCTACTGAAGTGGGACACACTAGTTTGCAATTCCCAGATCTGCCTTATGCCTCTTTTTCCCCCCAGACTGATATAATTGCCACTCTTCAATTTGTTGATAGTTGCTCTTTCAAGAAGAGAGAACTTCTTGCAGCACCTCAGTGTCAGGGTTTCATGTCAGTCTTACCCTGACGGATCAATTTACTTTGACTCAAGGTATGCAGGTGTTTCTGCTGTGACTCTCAACACCATAAGCTGGGACGAGCCATCCTCTTTTATATCCTGATTTTCCTTGAGAAGTTCAGAGATTCATTGCTGAAGAATTGTTTGCAAAGCATGGAAAACTCCCAAGATCTCCAGAAGCATTTCTAGCAGTGTTACTTTAAAAGAACAAGTTTCTGTCTGGTTTGGGGTTTATATAAAAAACAAATTAATGGCAACATGTTAAACTTTCAGGTAAATAATTAGTGTTTTCTCCAATATAATTTTTTTCCCAGGCATTACATGCTGAGGACGAGCACTTTGATATAGTCTTTATTGATGCTGATCAAAGGAATGCTGTTCAGTACTACAGCTTTGTCATGGATAACCACTTGCTGAGCATGGATGCAGTGATCTGTGTAGAGAATACACTCATGAAAGGACAAGTCTACCTGGAGAATGTATCAGATGAAAATGTACTAGCTGTCAGAAAATTAAATGCAGTGATTAATTCAGATCCTCGTGTTGAGCAGGTTAGTGCAATGCCATTGGTTAAGGTGCCCGCAGTGCTGTATCTATGGATTTTGCAAAGTACTCTTTAAAATGCTTCTTTTGTTGGTGCCATTATCCAAAGGACCTAAAATGAACTCAGATTTTATTATAATTCACCTCACTTGAGCTCTAGGTATGAGTTTCTATATTCACGAGTGGTCCCTGCTCTGTCTACATCTTATAGTGTGTTAAAGGCAAGATAAAAGGAGAGCACTTAAGAGTAAATAATCAACTCTACACCACAACTAAAGAATCACCACTCTGCTTTAAAGGCTCTGGGGGCTGTGGGGCATTACCAGCACAACAGGAGTCAGTAAAGAGAATAAAAAGAAGTAATAGGATGCACAAACAATATGTTGTGATTTTAGAAACTGAAGAAACACGATTGCATTTTTTCCCCCTAGCATTTGTGTAAGCAATGAGTTTGGAAGATGAATGGGAGAAAATAAAAATGGCTGAAATGTTTGTGTTGGAGGGAGCTTCAGCTCAAAAATAGGAGTAGGGGAAAAGCTACTGTGGCCTGAGGATTATCCTTCATATCAGTGGAATTTGGGTGACAGAAAGCCAGGTACCAAGCAGATGAGAATTGTGTTATATTTGCAGGTGGTTTTGCCTGTGCAGAGTGGACTGAGTCTCATCCGAAGGAGCTCTGTGCCTCCAGATGCAGTGATTGAGTCCAAGGTGGGTATTTCCCCTCTGAGCATTTCTGGAAAAATTTTAACTCTGCCAAGGACAAGGACAAAAGAATTTTCAGGGATTTGGTGGCAAGAACCCAAACATGTGGTACTGTGATCATGGGTTTAGCAGCTTAGAGCTGGGCACCTTTAGCATCTCCACTCCAGGGTGGCACTAAAGCTGATAAATGCTGATTCCCTGCAAAGTCTTTCAGATCAGCTGGTCCTGTGATAAGTCTTTGGAAGGACTGGTGTACTGCCCACCAGGTTTCAGTGTTTGGTGCTCTCCCATCCTTCCCATGCAGAGGAGTGTGGGAAGATGGAGCTGAGGACCAGTAATGAACCAATACATTTCTGAAGTAGTTCATTTTTTTGCTCAAAGGCAGCACAGGATGCCCTCCTGTGCTTTCTGAGCTGGATGTTTTCATGGCCTTACATTTTGTTTGTCCTAAGGAAAAAATGGTGCTTTTATCTGTCTCTGTTTATGTAGTGGGCATCATCCAGCTGTAATGAAATTCCCATCTGGAATCATAACGGCCTACCTCAGTAAACCCAGACCCAAACATCCTGATTGTTTTGCAGTTTCTGAGTACTCCCAAAGCTACGTCCACTGGTAATTCCTGGCATTTCAAACTCAGTATTTTAAACATCTTGTATTTTGCATTTTGATTCCAGTCGGGGGGAAATGATGTATGGCAGCTGATCAGATGACAGCTTGGTTTAAGTTATTGGCTGATATCTTTATTTGTGCACCAGCCTTGTGAAGATATTTTGATTGCACTCTACTTGACCCAAATCCTGCCTTTGGAACCTTGTTTTCAGCCTCTTAGCTGAGCCTCAGGGCAAGATTGGGCCCTGGGGATGAAATAACTGGAAGACTTAATCAGTCAACTTCTAAAACTTTGTACCCAAGCCAGGCTAGGAAATGCCATACGCTACTCTCCTGAAAATGGAGTGGTTGTAGCATCTCCCTAGAGCACAGCCCTTCTGCTCCATTGTCTGGCACCTTGGTGCTCTGTTTGAGCTTAATATCTGTATGGATAAGGGGGCTTTTTGGCTTGAATTAGTGAAGCTTTTTGTATCAATTAATGGCCCAAGAAGACATGGATACCTGCTTATGCTCCCACCTCGTTCACACCAGCAGAGTCCTTCACAGCTGTCAGTGAGCTCTGCCCCTCACTGTGCAGGTGTTTGTGTTCTTGTTGCAGACACAAGTGGTGAAGGATGAGGTTTTCTGGGGCTGCAACCGGCGCCGCATCCTGGAGCGGCTGTGCTTGGACGGCAGGGTCGCCTATGTCACAGGAGGAGGGCAGGGCATTGGCAGGGCCTTTGCCCACGCCCTGGGGGAAGCTGGGGCTAAAGTGGCTGTGGTGGATCTGGTCCTTGCCAAGGCAGAAGCAGTGGCATGTGAGCTCAGCCTCAAAGGTAAGCACTGAGCGTGGTGGGCACTGTAATGGGTGGCTTTCATCCTTCAAACCCCACACCGCTCTGTAGAGCAATCCCCTCCCATCCAGCCCTGGTGGAGATGTGGTTAGAGTGGAGGATTTTCATGCCATGGGCACAAAGCTTCTCCTGCCCTGTCAGTGTTGTGCCAGCAGTCACTGATACCACACCATCTGTGAGAGTTATTTATCAATATAAACTCTTCTAGAGAGGCAAAGTGATCCAAAGAAAATTCCTCTCTACAAGAGCCCAAAGTGGTGAGCCATGGCTGATAGGAACAGAGAAGAGTCACCTTGTACAAGTGAGATCTGTATGACCAGAACTGAACAGAGATGATGCTGCTCAAAGTAAATCGTGCAGGCTTCACTATGGATGAATGAAAGGTACAGCCACCAACTCACCTATCCTCTCTTCCAGACCCTCTTCCTACCATGAGCCAAAACCCCCAAAGGGTAGTTCTATTGTCAGTCTGAATCTCTCACTGTGCTCTTTAAATTGAAGACAAGTCATTTTTCAAGCTCTCCTTCAAACATGTGTGCAAGGTCAGATATAGGAACAAAATACTAATAGACATACTAAGTAAAATCCTCTACAAGCTACTTCTGTTTTAGCAGTAAAAACAGAAAATGTAGCATAAAATCAAATTTCCCCCTAGAGCTGTGCTAAACTGCAATTGTAAAGGGGAAAAAGAAAACTGGAAATATAATTTTAATGATAAAAGAAAGGAAGTATTGCTCATTTTATTATTTCTTCTGTGAGATTGCACCTGAGCCTTCTTCAAAGTTCAGTACTTCATTGTCTCTAAAGATGGACAATTATGCAGGAAATTTTCACATTCCCACATGGATAAAGTCACCAGTATTTGTTTGCACTCTGACTTCTGTAAGGGATTGGGCCATTAGAAACCATATTCCCCAGCAAAACCAGCCCCTGCAGATGTATTTATATCACTCAGTCTCAGAAAGAGACAAAGATTGGTGTCATTCTGGTTTGGATACCATCCTGGGGCTCCCCAGAGAACATTTAAAACCAAACGTCCCTGTCTGCACAACTCCAGCTCTGCTAAGCAGGAGACACTTCACACAGAGTGTCAGTGCAATGGTTAAAGCTCTGATCCCAAATAATGACCTAGAAGAAAGTGTCCAGCTCCTATTGCAAATTCTTTAGTCATCCAGTCCCTCCTTCCCTGAAGCTTTTCACTCTCTTATGCACCACAGCCATATGGTTTTGGCACAAAGTGGCTGTACCCTACACCTTAACTCTCCTTTTGGACATTTTTTCCCTGTGAGATCCTGCATATCAAGCAGAGCTATTCGGATAGAAATGGGCTACTTGATAGAGCCATGAGACTTTGGATGCCAACAGCCTATTGGAAAATGAACTTAACTCATCTCCAGGGCATTTTCAGTGGGAGTTTGATCATCTACCCTTCAATGGCTGCCCTACATCTCTGCTCCTTCAGCAGTGGGCTGCCAGCCTGAAGGAGGTGGGGGGTTGCTCCAAAATGCAGTCGGAGAGGTCATGAGGCATAGCAAATATTATTGCAGTCTAAAGTAAAGAAAATCTCACTGCTCACTCTTTACACATCTTTATCCTTTGAGGTCAAATATTATCTATCAATTTGACCAGTGCAGCTGGTCAGGGCACATCTCTTCCATCTCATGATGGGTTTTGAGGTTTTGAATTTATTGTCGTTCCCTGTTGGAACAACCCCCAAACTTTGTAAAGCTTTTGTGAAAGGGAATTATATCCAAATGCCCGTTTTTGGAAAGGATCTGAAAAGGTCAGGTTTTCAATCTCTTTCTCTCCAGAGGTAACTAGAAATTCTAGCCTGGACCTCAGAAGCTTTCCCTTGAAAACTTTTTGTTGAAATCAATGTTTCCATGAAACATTTTGGCTTCAAAGAAGTATCATGCTCTGTTGGAAATAAATTTTGACAAAAAGGTTCAGCTAGCTTTACACTCAAAATATTCACATGAGTAAATTGAAGCAATCATAACATTAATACATATTTTTCCTGCTGTAATAAGGACAAAGGGGCTGTGATTTTTTTTTCCTCCTCTATGGCTGTAGATCTCTAACTCAAAGTTGGAAGCTCAGCGCCCCAAGTCATTCCCATACTGATACTTTTTTCAAAACATTTTACTTAGCTTGCTTAGAGCTGCTCTGCTTCTTATACCAAGGAGCCCTTTCCTGCCTTTTGGGATGGTGCCATCATTTCATAATGAGTTTTAAACATCAGAACGCCTGTGATCTCAGTTTTAGCTTTGTTAGACAGCTCGGGTGTATGTCCCTTGGCTGCAGGGCTCTTTGTTTTTAGATCCTGTGTGAATACTTTTTTCAACAGTTATTAATGGATCCTGACTGAAGAACCAAAAATGATGAAACATAACCAAAAAATCCTAAGGGTTACCTTCCACTACACACACCTCTGTCTTCAGGGGGAATCACTGCCTGTACCCTAAGGGAAGAATTAGTCTGATGGGATTTTTAAAATGTGCATTTTCACTGTAAACTATGCAAATGCCTTGTGCAATGTCACTCCTGATCTTCTTGTCTATATGCAACATGTTACTTCCATTTATAGCGAGAGACCAGAGATGAAGCCTGTGGCAGGGGGACGTGTGTGTGTCCCTGCAGAAGGACACCTCAGACAGGCATATCCAGCACAGTGATTGTCTGCAGCACAGAGCCCCTGGGCTCCTCTCCTGCCCCCCTCATCACAAACCTGCCTCCATGAGCCCCACAACAGTGGGCTGAGCACTGTGGAGATGCATCATCCTCTGCATCATCTTGTGCTGGGTGTCTTGCCTCTGATTGTGTCTGTAGATTTGAAGCTATTTTCCCATAGTTTGTTTTATTTATTATTTTTAACAGGTGGTTTGAGGGGACAGTGGAGAGAAAGAAAGTGGTTTCCTCCCCCCTCTCAGAGTGCAGGAATATCAGATTAATTGATTAAGGTGGAGTATGGGACTCTAGTTTGAAGTGAGCGTGGTTTCACTGCTTCTTCACTAGACACTCACATGTGGCACCTTTTGTCTCATTTTTATAAACTGACCTATAAGATGAAGCTCTAAATGGGGTGAGAGTTGGAGGGCACGTGAAGAGTCTTTCTGTTACCATTAGTAACACACTTGCACCCATTTTATCTGTAAATTTAAAAAGGAAGATTGCAGCAACTCCCTGCGCATTACAAGCCTTGATAACAATTAGGGGGAGCAACAGGGCCTGTCTGGCTATTCTTATTCTTTCATCATGTTTAGCATAAAACCTGCCATAAAATAAGAGGTCCTGTTTTGTGGCAGAGAATTGCATCCATTTTTTAGTTGTTTGTGTTTTTTCTCTGCCATGGAAATCGAGAGAACGGTGTCATCAGTGAAAGGGACAGGAGCTCCCATGCCCTGGCACTCCAGAGTGGCATCACCTCGGGCTGTGCACTCTGACAGGCTCCTGGAGGCACTGGAGAGGAGGAAAAGCTTTTCCATGCAAAAGCCTCTTTCCTGCCACATTTCCAGACACACCACTGCGCAAATGCTGCTTTGCCTTGTTTTCCTGGAAGCCTCCATCTCAACTTCATTTTGGGAGAATCTTCCTGGAATAGGCTTATCCCTTCTTTTAAATGTTTCATCAGAATGATCTAAAAGAGGTAACAGTGTGGAACAAATTTGTCATTTATATAGAAGAAAAAGATCTTGCTTTAATAGCTGCAACTTCCTACTCAGACTGCTGATCATGGTCCAACCCCAGTGGGTGCCTCCTTCCTTCCTTAATTAAGACTCATTTCACCACAGCCCTTACTGGTGTAGCCTTGTTTGGCTTTGAGGATGGGTATATTCCCAGTGCCATCAGGTCTGGTATAATCCCCCTGGCCTCAGCAGGCTTCTGATGCTGTTTAACAATAAGGTTATTTAAAGCTGATTTTTATAATGAATTAATTGAAGTTATTTTCCGATCAGCCCTGGTGCAAAAGTCAATGGCTGGATTATTTTAGGAAAAAATGCAAAACTTCTTAATATTTCAAACTTGGCAAATCACTTCCAGATGGTTGCATTATTCTGGCAGTGTGATTTGCAGTAAATAAGTCACTATGACTGCCATACCTGTGCACCTGCAGGTATTCCCACTTAGCTCCCACCTAAAACTTTGGCTTTGTCTGAGGCTCCCATCTCTCTGCATGCTGTAGTTCACCCAGAGAGCGGTTTGAGACAAATTAATTTGATTTCTGTAGCATTTTGGGGGGCGACCTGGCAGAAGAAAAGGCTCTGCAGAGCGGCTGGGAGCCGGGGAAGCTGCAGTTGAGGGTTTGGACAGAAGATGGTGCAGCGTTCCACGCTTCGTCCTGCCCGAGCGGCAGCCCTGGCTCCCACACCTGGGCTCCAGGCTGCTCTCCAGCCAGCCAACCTCGCAGCAGTCAGCAGCTTTATAATGGTATTGCAGTAACAAACACACCTTTTGCTACTATTTGTGGAGCAATGAATTAAGGTGGAATATATATACACACATATGTGTGTATAAAATACAGCCATATAAAAAATATCTCCATATATGAATTAAAAAACAATCATAAAATAAGATTTTTTCCCCTCGTGAATTCCTGTGCTGACTCCATCACTCTTATTTCAATGCAGGCATTAAGAGCCTTGCCCTGGCAGCAGATGTGAGCAAGCCTGAGGATGTGCAAAGGATGGTGGATGCAATTGTTGCTCGCTGGGGCACAGTCCACATTGCATGCAACAATGCAGGCATCAATCTGAACTCTGCAAGTGAAGAGACTTCCCTGGAGGAATGGGACAAAACTTTTAATGTTAATTTGCGAGGATTATTTTTGTGCTGCCAAGTAAGTGTGAAATACTGCACTGGTTAGTTTTGCAAATGGATATTAATATTCTGTTTCCTTTATCTCAAGATATAATAGCACTTTACTAATAATTCTCACAACAAAATTGGTCCTAGTTTTGGTGGAGTTTAGGGGAGATTTGCTTTATATTAATTACAAATTTTGGTCAATACGTTCAAAAGCAGCTGGTATTTGGTGGCTACCCAAGTCCAGGCACTAAGGAATGGCCAAAATTTTTTTGAAGGGTGGTTATTTGAAAACCAGAAAGCTTGGAGGGAGGAATTCCCAACATTTGTGATTTTTTGGAAAAAATATTGCCAGCAGAGGAGAGGTGTGAAATGGCAATGGGATTTTTCCCTGCATCAGCCATTTTTATACCAAGTTTTTATATCAGGTACTTAAAAAAAATGTGTTAGCACATCAACTCTTCTGAAAAGACTAATTTATTATCATGTCATTATTAGCACAATCACAGAAAGGGTCACTGGTCTTTCCTTTAATTTCTGTCACAGGCTGCAGGCCGCATTATGCTGAATCAAGGATATGGGAAGATAATTAACACAGCATCTATGGCAAGTTTAATAGGTGAGTGATGAGAGCTAACAGTTGTGCTTCAGAATCCATATTTTAATTACTACCGATGCTATTTGAATCAATTAAACCTGTATTGGGAAGGAGTAAATCACTGACATTTCATATTAGAGGAAATGTACTACAAAATTTTTATTGATATCATTTTTCAACATTTATCTGTCCTCGATGTTTTAGAGCACTTATTACTTTTTATAGAAAAGGTGGAGTCACCTTCTCTGACTCTGGAGCAGATACCACAGGAGAAGTGCTGCTCCCTCCATGCTGTTTCAGGCAAACTCCTTGGCATGTGGGAAGCTGAGCCCACAAGATGCTTACAGGCCACCCAAAGGATTTTGTGCCAATATTTGCCCTGGTACCCATGGGTTTTATAACATTCTCATTGCCAACAGGTGCCTGCACCAACGCTGCTGAATCAGCAGTGTCATCAAAAGGACCAATAAACCATTGTAACATATGGAATGAAATCCCTACTGCTGAGCTAATCTGGAAGGCTGCTGAGCTGAAGCCCATGTAACAAAAATTGATCAATTACACAAATTAAGCATAGCCCTTTAGGAATTTATTTTATTGGTCTGGACATCTGTTGCAGTATTGTCCAAATCCAAAAATCAAATGGTGCCTTGGGTTGCCAAGTTAGGCAAGAAAATCTAGTAGCTATAAAAGTACAACAGAAAACCCCTGTATTAATATCATGTCCATCTGCTGAATGTTACATAAATATGCAGTCTTTTTATTTTCCTTCCGAATAATGTTTATTTTTACTGTGCCCAGTTTGACATTCAATGTCATTCTACTCAGTTTATTGCACAGTAACTTTAAATGGTTCTTCAAAAATCCATTTATAATGTTGTTGTTAATATTTTTTCAAGTGTCTTTACCACCTGTTTTACTTATGCTTAAACACAGGCACCACCCCTTCACCCAACTTTGTAAAGTTACAAAAACTCCCCAAGAAAAGTAGTTCTGAAAAGATTGCGTTGCTTTAAATTTCAAATACCTCAGGCTTTCCAGCTCTGCTCTGAACAGTCGGGCTCTGATCTGTGCTTGGGCTGTCACCATCCACATCATTGTCACAAAGCAAAATTTCCTGGGACGTAGTCCATCCTGGAGAAAGTTAGGAAGCTCTGGGAATTGGCACAAACTGGGGATCTGCTGGTTTGGCACACAGCTCCCAGCCTCGCTGCAGCCCAGCAGTGGTCTGCTCTGCTTAAGGAGAGGCTTTTTCCAACTTTTCAGCTGGGGCTTGGCAGAGTTCTGCTGAGCTGGGTGGTGATGCCATTCCAACACAGCATCCATCTCAGCCCCATCTTGGAGCTGCACCTCCTTGGCTGGTGGGCCAAGCAGAGGGGATCACATCTGAGGGCAGTACCTGTCCTGGAACAGAAAGGAACATTGGAAAGCAGCCCTGAGAGCAACCTGGAAGGGTCATCCCAAGATGCATTTAAATGTCAGTGAAAGTTAATGTGTGCTAGGCCAGAAGTTAAGAGATGGAGAGATGTGTTTACCTCCTGAACCTGTTTGAATCTTGGCATTGAGAAAATCTAGTAGTTATGAAACTACGACTGAAAACCACGATGTTCATATCATGTCCATCTGCTGAATGTTAAATAAATATGTTGGTTGGTTGGTTATTTAAGTACGTTGGCCAACTGGCATAGTATGAAATGTTTCTAGAAATAGTTAGGGGATATTTTTTTTGTTGTTGTTGTAGGTTGAGTCCTTCCTCAGAGATACAGGAAAATGAGGAGACACTTAGCAGGATAGGGAGGTTTTTGTTTGTGATTTTTCCAGATACACTGCTCAGAATCAGCTTTAATTAATCGAAGATAAGCTGCATACATTTTGCATATGTGCATTTTGATTCTGGTGTTCCAATGGAATTATTCCAGGCGTTTGCTCCATCAGCAGCGTCGTTCACACAGGTGTAACTCAGAGCTGTAATTTTTACAGTGAATATCTTCAGTGGGAAGTGGTCTGCTCTGCTCTGTGGGCACCTCTCATTAACATTGTGTGGCTGCTTCAAGGTCAGGCTGGGAGCCTGATGCACCAAACAAGGGGTCAGCAGCAGTGTCAGGTTGTTGTGGTATAACCCCACAGCCCTTCCCTCTTTCCCTCAAGGATGGGAGAGAGGATCTTCTGGGAAAAAAACCCCAGCCAAAGTCAGAACAAAGATGTTTAAAACATAATACAGCTAATGTTGGCAGAATTTTTATCTGCTTTCTCCTATCATCTGTTTTGAATAGGAGTGTCCTTCTCAGAAGTCTTAGCAATACAGATTTTTTTGGTGACAATGCTAGAGGCATGGCTTTATTCACAAGCCCCATTTGGTATGAGTTTGGAAGGTTACAGATTTGCTCTTCTCTCTGTAAGAGACCACCTTAGGTAAGGGAAGAGGAGGTGGAATGGAGTGCTTATCTGCAGAAATCCCATCCAACGCCAGAGATTCACAGCTTCTCCTTGAGTTCTTCCAATTGAGAGGGGCTGAGTGTCTCATCAGGGGAAAATTTCATGCTCCTAATTACCTTCTTCAGATATTCTTATAAAGGCAACAGTCCATGGAAGGACTTTTGATAGCTGCGTTTCATCACCCAAGTCAGAAACTGATTCTTGTGTCTTGCAGCAACTTGTTCTCACCCACATGCCCTGTAGGTGCAGAGCCAGTGCCAGAACTCCTCTCCTCTTAGCAAGTGACCACCAAAATGATTGATCACAGACAGACATGTTTGGAAAGTTTAGCAAAGAACTGCTTTTGGGAGGTTGCAAGGTTAACTACTGAAGTTGTATGTAACTTGGAGCTGATGCATGGCAATTAATCAAGAAATTATGTTCCACATCTCTCTGAGAGCCCCCACGGCGCGCTGCGTCAGGGGGCAGCAGGCACACACAGAGGGCAAGGCAGTTCTGCTGGCCAAAATGCAAATTATTTCATATTGAACAAAAAAGAGCACAGAATAAATGCTGGCAGAGGAGGGCCATGATAAGAAACACTCTTTTTAGCAAGGAAAAGGCCTCTGAATTCTGAGCAAACCTGCAGCATATGCAGAAAAAAACCCCTCTAATTGTTGCTGCCATTATGTGTGTGCTTTAAATCCATTCACAAACACCTCTGTTCAAGGCAAAAGTCCTTGTTCACATACTCACTGATTTGCAGCACTGATTTTTGGCTTTTTCAGAGTTTTGGTAACTCAGTTATCACCTTGTTTCCACCCTTTACATTGACATATTCAAACCCAAGAGATTAAGTCAATAAAATCAGTAGTGGGCGTGTTGGGATGCCATGGGTGGGAGTGATATAGAACTGATGCATCAGCTTAATTTATTGAGACCAGTTTAATGCCAGCTACTAGTGCTGCTTATGTGCTTTTATCAAAATGTTGGGAGTTGGGGTTTGGCTGCTGAGCCTTGCACAAACCCAGTGATTCCTTTTCTTCCAGGGTGGAGTGTTATCCAACCCCAGAGGCTGGAATTGCCTGTCTTTGTGACTACTGATATTTGCCCTGATTTCCCCCTCTCTCCCATCAGTCAGCAGCTCAGTGAAGCTCTGTGCTGATACAGAGCTAATTATGGATGGATGCTTTGCACTGGATTTCTTTAATGAAGTCCTAATGGCAGCCAGAAAAGTCCAAAGAGAGATACTTTGTGGGTGTGAATCCCAGCACCTGGACTGACTTGGATTGACTCCCGTGGGTTTAAGGCACTTTACACCCACTGGGGATTTGTCCTTAAGTAGCTTTCACTGAGCTGGAGAGGGGCAGAGCCACCGAGCACACGGCACTAACAAGCTTGAACATTGTAATTAGCAAGCTGATCATTTTCTGTCTTTGACTGACATGTGACATCTCTGAAACATTTTCAAAAGCTTCAGATTTTGAAAGTGGTGAGTGTTCTGAATTTTTGGGATGCACCTGTGTTCACATCCACACAAACATTTGTTAGATGATAATATGTGTTTGCCTCAGAATATGGATAATTTAAAAATTAGGGAGAATAATTTGTTCCAAGAAGCTGTATATAATATGTTATATAAAATCTATTATGCACTTATATTCTATCATATAATGTCATATCAAACAATTTACTGTTACATTCAGCTATCAAATATTATCTACCACATATTATTATAAATAATATTAATATATTACATAACACAGAATATGTCAGACATTATATTATTGATTATATAATATTTTAGAATTATATGATAATATATTTTATTAGTATTACAGTGCACAAGTATATAAATATACATATGTGTACAATATATGAATGTGCATATGTGTATATGATTATTTATCTTTCTTCAGAGCAGTCAAGTATTGCATATATATGTTTAATACATCGCTTTTGTCTTTGCCCAAATATGGGATCTTTTAAATGTCTTTACTTTTATTTTTGCCATTGTTTTCCAGCAGCCCATCTGCTGAGACAAAATTGTTAGATGGCAAAATACCTATTTAGGGGTTTGTGTTGTAGGTGGCTGAATTCTTGCTGCTCCCTGCCTGGTACCTGGGAAAAGGGCAAATAGCACATCTCAATGCAGGGAGTTGTCTGTGTAGTGCCTGGGCTACTTTAATTTGGGAAGAATAAATAATTTTCTTCTTTTGAATCCCTTGTAGTTCCTCACCCACAGAAGCAGTTGGCATACAACGCCTCCAAAGCTGGGGTCGTAAAATTAACACAGACATTGGGAACCGAGTGGATTGACAGAGGAGTAAAAGTCAACTGCATTTCCCCGTAAGTAAAATGTAGTCTCATTTTGAAACTACAAAGGGAATGAAATGTTCTACAAAGCTCAAATGAACACTATCTCAGCAAATAAAGTTTCTAATTAGCAGGTGGATTGCATCCCTTTTTATGTTGTCTTTTCCTTAACAAAGGTTTAAATACTTAGAACCGAGCCTGCTCTGTTGCTGTGTATACTCAGGGATTTAAGGAGAGGTTTTAGCATTTGGTAATAGGTTTTCCAATATTGTGAAGGGTAGTTTTTAGCATTTCCCTTCCAGATGAAATATTTCCTTAGTCTGTTCAAGCCTTCTGTGGTTAAAGAAAGGGTTTTTGACACTTAACAGACAATACTTCTTTTCCCTTTTTACTTGAGACAAATACATGGGCACTTTAAAAGCTACATTTTATTGCTGTCATTGAGCTACTGTTCAGCTCCAACAGACACAGGAGGCCAGGTTTAGTTTTGTAAATACATATATACACATATATTTATTACAAATTGCATTTTCGTTATTTTTGGAGATTTCAAGCTCTATGTTTTAGGGTATTTATTCACAAAGAAAAGTTTTCCTACCAGATTCACTTTGTCTCTCCCTGTTTCTCACACCCATGCCCAACCAGTCATTTTATTAAACAATTAGCAGTGCATGATAGTGCTGAGCAGAAACCCAAGTGGATAGCGTTAATTGGAAGCGGTCAAATTCTGTAGACCATTGAAGTCAATCAGAGTAACTAAGAAGGGCAGGATTTTAACCCAGGAGTTAAATTGTAATAATGAAGATAATAATGTAGATCAAATTAGGGAAAACAAATTACATATTTTAATCCACAAAGTGGAGGGGGAGAAAAAAATCACAGAGCTTAATGGCAAGTGCTTCTTTTTCTGCCGCTGGTCTGCTCTCCCCTTGCTTGTGCTAGCTGTCTTCCTTATGATTATTTATTACTAATTATACCAGAGACTCCAGCCGTCACTCTACGTGATCCACAGATTCTTTCAACAGCATCTTACTTCCTAATGGGATTTTCCCCATGCCCATGCTAGCAGCACTGTAATGGTGCTCCTACAACTAGCACTAGTGAATTTACACTGGCTTTCGGGAGCTGGGGAGATGAAGGGAATTAGGGAAGTTCAGCAGGACCTGGCAGGAATTGTGTCTGAAAACATAGGGGTAATCTGCATCAGCAGAGGTGGGATAGTTGTGCCACATTCACAGCAATTATGGATGAGAAGGAGGAATTACCCATTTCTTAGGAGCTTACATAAATTTAAAAAATAGTTACCAAATGATCAAAACTCATTGTTTTGTACAGCTTGGAAGCAAGCACTCACTTCTAGAGAAGTTATGTTTCTGGAGACGCTTGCCAGTGCACAGAGAAAAAATAGACAGCTTCTCTTTCTAATTTTCAAGGCAACACAGGGTTGCATTTTGATCATTTCTACCTGTCTTAAACTCTATCTCTGAGCTCAAAATCCTACAACAAAAACGGGGTGATGTATTGCCTTTTTGGAGAAATAGCCAGGAAGGACATATGGAGAACAAATATTTTGCTGTCTTTGAGGTCCCATGTTGTGGACAGAGCAGTTTCCCTAATGCAGGTGGGAACCTGGACTGAGCTGCTTTGGGGACCAGCAGAACTTCCCTCACAGAGCCTCCAGGCTCTGGCTGAGCCCCTCATGATGGGATTGCCCAGGAACCCCTGGGCACGAGGAAGGAGCCTGCAGCAGTTCATGGAGCTCAGATCCTCCATCACATGAGCAAAAACCACATCTGCTTCTGAGTGAATAACTATTCACATTAGAGTCCTGCCTGTGTGAGATGTGAACCTGCATTTCAGTGCACATTTGGGCCCATCCCCAGAACTGTGGACCTCACGAGTGTCACTGTCTCTTGATGTGACTCACCAAGGACCAGGGACACCTTTGACCCACTTGATCTGAGTGCGCAGCACCAGCAGAAGCCTCAATGTCATCTTATAACAGGATGGTATTTTAAGGAATCTGAGGAGAACAAATGTAGGTATAAGGCATTATGGTACCCAAGATCAGCTCTGGATAAGTAAAATATCTGTGTCCTTAAATACTTCACCCCTCCCAGTCACGGTTGCATTAAAGCTTTAAGGCACTCCCAGTGTGCCTCTGTCTGAAGCTTCAAATGCTCCAGTCTGGCCTTAAACATTATTTCACCATGCAAACCTTTTGGCCTTTTCCCCCTCTTCCTATCTGGTCACTTTTTATCAACTTAATTTCTTAATGAGTGCATAAAACTTATGCAGAGCAATGCATAAAAGTTAGCAATGCATAAAATGTTATGACAGAGTCCTTAGGATGATTTATTACATTTATAAAATTGAACATGCAGGCTTCTCTTGCTGGCCAGGCAAACCTGATGCCCAGGGAGAGAAGGTGGCTGAGATTCCCTGGATGCTTTGGCTGACTTATGCTGTTGCTATTGTGGAACCTGTGCTCAGTGCTTGCACCACCATCCCGTGCCATCACCTCACAGCCTGCTGCACAGATGCCAAAAAATGAAGAAGGTCTTGGAGTCTTCCCGAAATGAATGTGGGGGTTGAATTGCAGCAGGTACCTCGGTGTAATCAGAGAACTTTACTGGGCACTGACTGATGCCCAGCTGCCCATAGGGTTTAGTCTCTTTGCTGGTTTCAGGACATGGAAGTGTGTTGGGTGTGATGGAAGAGGAAATTCTGGAAGGCGTCTGGTTTTTTGGCATGTACAGCATTGAACACATCATTTTTGCAGCCATTACACTGAATCAATGTCCATTGTTTTGGCTAATTACTGCCTTCTTGATTAGCAAGACATGAAATGCCATCATGTGATGACCTTTGGGAAGGGCAGGTGGATCTGACATTAAGGTCAACTTGCAGCCAGGCCAGCAGCCCTGGGGGATGAACCATGTTCCCTTCTGATGGGCTGCAGGGATTTGGGTTTGGGCTGCTGGGCAAAGAGCCTCTGCGTGCCCTGCGTCCTGCCCTGCTCCTCTGAAGGCAGCCACACAGTGCTGCACCAGGCTTGTAGCCCCAGAAAGCAGGCAGAGCAGGATCACTGCAGGTTTGGGGAACACTCCATAAGGGGGAAGGAGAGGCAGAGCTGGCAGGTGAGGGAGCACCCCAGCATCACCTGAAGGCATCCCAATTAAGCAGCATTACTATCCCCATTAAGCAGCAGTCTTTGCTGGTAAGTATCTTTGGACTTAAATCTTAATTCCTTGGGAGATGTCCCAATTAAGTGGATCTTGTGATTAAACACTTCCTGATTAAGTGGAGTGTACTTAACTCATTCAAATTAATAACTCATCTGAAAGAAATCAAGTTACACACAGATGGAATCTTTTTTTGCTCTCATTTGGGGATTGAGTGCACGTAACAATTCCAGTTAAGTATCTGGTAAGTGATATTTTTCCTAATGTGTCTCTTGAAGTGGAATTGTTTCAGGCAATTGTTTTTTTCTCCTTTTTTTTAGGGGTCTTTTTTCCCCCCCTTATGTCCAAAATTGTCCTGTGTATCAATAATGAAATATTGATGCTCATATCTAACATTAAGGAACCAGCAGTTTGATATTACATTGACATGCAACAGAAAAGTACTGATAGGCTCAGCACTGCATACGAGATGAGGTAGGGAATTAATGCATTGGCAGTTGTCTTTGCTGGAACTGGTTAGGAGCCAACTAAAATCTGCCTAAAAGGGTTCGACAACGTTAAATTGCCCAACTTGGCACCAAGCTTTCCCAGAAGATGTGTAGTATCAATGACATGCCTAATATTTATAGTGCCATCAGTATGTGTGTTTGCAACTTTTAAGTTTTGCGCTGTATTTTTTTCTCATTTCTATAACAAAAATTTGTAGTGAAGTTTGGTTTCACATCTAAATTTTTGCTACGTGGAGTGAACCTAAAGAAAGGTCCAGCAAGCAGCACAGCGCGGTGATTCACAGACTGCAGTGATCAGACCAAAGATCATTTTTCTTAACAGATTGAAAAACGTCCTCTTTTTAGCAAAATCTGTTGTGCTGGAGGACTGTGTGTTTTATTCCCTAATCTGCATTCCCTTGAGGTTAAAATGTATCTGCAAATGAAAAAAACAAGAAAATCATATGGATTTTATTCTGGTCTCTGCTAGTGTAAAGCCAGAATGATGATGACGATGGTGATGGTTTTGTAAGCTCAGTGAGAGGCACGTAAGGGAAAGGAGTTCAATATATTTCATGTCTGCTGCTCAAAGCACGTTTCTCTCTGAAGAAAACCAGCTCTTGAGGAGTTTAGAAAAGCAAAGGAGACTATGGGGCTCTGCTTGAAGGAAATAAGTAAAGCATTCACAGTCCTATACTGGAATGTGCTTGATTTTGTAACATTGCCAGAACTTAAGTGAGCTGCATCACTCAGTGTTTCTGAACCGCTCTGCTCTTTATTGACAATTACAATAAAATATAAAGCTGATATTTAAATCCTGCCTGATTAGTGCGAACAGAAATGTTTGGGGGAAAATCTGAATTAGTTCCACTTCATAACAGAGTAAATAGTGGATTTCAGCCTTCATTTAAAACAAAAGGTAAATCTCATACCCAGAATCCAGTCTGTCTCAAAAAATTATTTCCTTGGAAGTCTAAATTGGGATGCCGATGAAGTTTCAGAACAAAACGGGTATTTTTATACTTTGTTCATTTCATATTTATCACTAGCTTGTTTGCTAATTTTCATTTGCAAGAGGCAATTCTTCCAGCTAACTGGCTGCCTCAATGGGCCACTGATTTCTTTGAAGTGACAGTCTGTAAATATGCATAAAAAAGAGATGCAATTAGCGTGTGTGTGGTTCAGTGCAGCCTGATTTCATTGGCAAGTTTACCCACAGTGTTGATAAGCTACATTATCTAGAAAATTGGCCGCTGAAAAACAGCACCTCTGATTGCCAGCAAAGGTTCCAGATAACAGGGTGCTGAAGAGAAATATAATTGAGGTTGAATATGTTAACCAAGGTGTCACATGCTCCTTAGAAGCGCTAATTTATCAGCATGTTGGAATTTTTATTAACATTTGGAATGCATTTCTACCACACTAATGAAGTGGAATTGGCAGTTCAGGTTTTAGTTATTGTCATTTCTGAGAAGTTAAATGTAATTTCTCGTTAGACACAGTTATGTAAATATATTTGTTCAGGGGCTGAAAAAATTATACATTTTGCAAAATACAAATATGTTGTTAAGGAGGAGTATGACAAATCAGTTGCAGCTAAAGTCATAAAAGCCAGCCAAATCTTTGCCCTGCATTGTGCTTCCTGCAGCATTTTAGGGCACCTGAAAAAAAACAAACTTAGCAGACTTTTAGTAAATAGTGGAGTCAGTCATTAATGCAAACGAGGCATGACAAGTAAATCAGTGCGATTTGTCAGGTGTTGGTTTAAGAGGGATCACACTGGGTGTGTTGTGTTTATCTCTGCCCCTCCTTTTTTTGTGTGGAAAGGCTCTGGTGCTCAGAAGGGTGCTGGCTTTTGTTCCTCTCGTTGTTTGACATATGGGGAGTTGGTCTGTTTTCAGTTTCTGGGCTGTACACAAGCATGCTGTATGACATTAGTTGTAGAGTGATGAGAAAGGAAGGACAATGGTTCCCAAGAGCTGCGACAGACCCCTTTCACTCCCAATGTTGTGCTTGTTTCCTGGAAAATAAATTTAAAGTGGTGATTATGGGTAACCTGAAAGTAAGGGGGTTGTGCTATTAGCTGAGAAGATCGTGTGAGTGTACGTGTGCTTGAAAGGAAACCCCTGAGCTGCCCATCAGCAGCAAGAAGGTGATGATAGGAAGGGAGCATTATGGAAGTTTGCACCATGACTTTCAGCAAGGGCAGAGCAGGCAGGATGTGCTCATCTCCTTTGTGCTGTTACCCTGCTTTCCTTCTGAATTAATATAAAACACCTCTAGGTGCTGCCTTTCCTTCTGGGCAGGACTCACAGCTGAACCCTTGGTTGGTGTGCTCGCTGCAGGGGCATCGTTGACACGCCGCTGATCCGCTCGCAGGAGCTGCGGCCGCTGGTGCGGCGCTGGCTGGCTGACATTCCTGCTGGGAGGCTGGCCCAGCCCACGGACCTGCAGGCTGCTGTGGTCTACCTGGCCTCCGAGGCCTCTGACTACATGACAGGCCACAACCTGGTCATCGAGGGCGGCCAGAGCCTGTGGTGAGAGGCGCTCTGCAGTCTCCCTTCTCACGGGCCTTGGAAAGTGAGTATTAAAGTTAAACTTAGCTTCAGCTTTGCCTTGTGTGACTACATAGCCAGCTAATACGAAATTATTGTTTTCTCCTTTCAGGTGTTAATTTGGAGACTTGTATAATGCACAGGAAGAATAAGGCAGAAAAAAAGGGCAATCTTTCAGTTTTCCAGCATTTTCGTGTTTTTCACTGCGCAGTCACGTTTCTGTTAAATTAGTATTTAATGATATAAAAGTACATTTACTGCAGTGAGATTTGGCTATTATTTAAGTTTAACAGGGGGCATTTTAAAAGCAATCAATATTAGCTGGTCTGTGTAGTTTATTGTTCTTAGGCAATTTTTTTGTATTCAAGTTGTTCCAGTGACATCTGTGAGTGGTGAAAAACAGTTGGATGTAGTGTTAAAAAAAATAAATTAGTTCATTACATTTGAACCTGAATGTTGCCATTTAATATTTACTGGTGTTCTTTAGTTTTTGACAGTGTTTTTATACAAACACCCACATAAATGCCCCTGAAAGAACAGTGCTGCACTTAATAGAGATTCATGGCTGGTAATTATAATGGCTCTAATCCAAACCTATTGAGGTAAGTAGGGACTGCTCATATACTTTAAGTTAAATGCGTGTTTAAGTGTTGATACAACTGGGTCTTTGTTTTCCATGATAGACAGAAGTAAGCAAAGGTCATCTTCCAAATAATTTCTTTTTCCACTTGTAAAAATCTGAAGACAGCTCTTGGGTGTAAACCAAGGCCAACTCAAGTGATATTGATACAGTTCTGTTGGCTGAAGAGCTTGTTTTAGTGATAGCATTGGGTTCATTGTTTATAGGCAGTAAAATGTGGCACAATAACCCCATGGTTCTGATATTGCTCTGAATAAAGACAGACTTCCATCCTGAGGGCCCTAAAGCATAACCTAAGGAGAATTTACGGGAAGAAATTCACTTGCAAATCCTCATGTCATTTGTTTTGCATTTGGCAGCTCTTTGTTACCATAACATAAATAATTGTGGATGGATGTCATTACTTTGATTAAGTGCTACAAGCCCATGCATTGGCTGGCCATTATTGTGGGGAATTGCTGTAATGGCTTCAGACTTGACATTCACTGCTACGTTGTAAGGTATGCGCCTCGCTGACGTACTATCATCGTTATCGTGGATAAAGTGCAAGAAGATACTTGTCTTCATTAAATTTTCTATTAGACCATTGATAATTAATACATATCTCATGTTTCATCTTGAGTCCTTTTTCTGGGGAGTGCTGCTGTTAAGCGACTCAGGGCTAGAACTTTTTGGATGAAATCCTTGCCTTGTGTGCATGATCTAATTTATTGACAATGCTCTGCAAACTCACAGGCTTAAGCAGAGCTTGATTTTGGATAAATCTTCAAGAAAAACAATTAAGGATTTAAACGTTTTATTATTTTTCTGGGCTCACAGAACCTTTTCTCTCCTAGCTCCCACACTTGCATCATTTTGTGTCATGCTCTGGAGGGCTCGGTGGAGTTCTCACATCCCTCTGGCTGGCTTTTCACCCAGAGGTTAATGTGCAAACATTGGTGAACTCATCAGGAGCTCTTCCAAGGGATCCTAGAGGGGCTTGTATAATATTGCTTGGACTGCTGGTGAACAGTTTGTTGCAGCTTCTACCTAAAGTGTAAAATAATGAACTTTAGTTAATTTGAAACATGAACTACAGTTGGCACTGGAACTATGAGCAGTGTTTTCACTTTCTCAGCAGAAAGACAAAAGACTGAATGGACTGCTAAGGCTGAACTTCCATTCCTTGCCTGGAGATGGTTGAAGTTCAGCGTCAAAATGCACTGTCAGGGCACTTCAGGAAGCTGAACTTCACTGCCCTGGTTTCAGAAGACTTTCAGCCAGCAAAGGTCATGCTGTGATTTTCACAAGTTTCAAGTTAAAAACAAAACCCAGACATAAAAAAAATCACCTAGACTTAGAAAAAAAAAAATCAAAATTATCTCTTAACTAAACAGCCTCCAGTGTTTGGACTAGAGCTTGTCTCGCCTGCTCTGTTTGCCCCCAGGCTCTGCCTTTGAAGGGCTGAGTGGGCAGAGCACAGGAATGAGATTACCTGCACAGGCTGGTGTGGGGCTTGGCTCCTGTCTGGGGGCATTGCTGTGTGCCCATGTGGGCCCTGGCCCTGCCCCATGTTGGCCCAGAGAGGCTGGTGGAAGGGGCTGCCTCTCCCTCCGTGGCACAGGAAGGGCTCAGAACTAAGCAGCCCAAGGGGACGCAGCACTTGGTGCCAAGTCCCAAAGCTAATTGGCAAATACCCTCACAGTACTTTTGTTTTTCATGGCACCCTCGCTTTGGCCAAGGAAATATCCTGGAAGAGACCATGTGTCAGAAGGGAAGTGTCTTTCTCCCTGTATGTATGAGCTGGTCTGTCTCTTCCTAAGCAAACACTTTCATCTCTCTCCTCCACAGGCCTGTTGAGTCATCAAATGGTTTGGGTTGGAAAGGATCTTAAAGATCTTCTAGTTCCAGATCCCTGCCATGGACAGGGACACCTTGCCCGAGACCAGGTTGCTCAAAACCTTATCCAACCTGGCCTTGAATCCAGGTCTTCATCCATTTGGGAGCTCTGGCAATGGCAGTGTGGCTCCCCACCCTTTCCCACAGAATTTCCTGAGGAAAATGGCTGATTTCCACTCAAAGGCTGTGGCCATGCAGTGCTGCTTCTGTCTGGTAGCACCAAACTTGGCATTTGTGTTGGGAGCTGTGGGGTGACTGCTCCTTGGGTATGGGGCTCCCCACACTCTGCTGTGGGGGAGCCTCATTGCTACAGCCATGGGGTCTCTTCCTGGGACGCAGCCCGAAGGCCAAGTGGAAGCACCAATTTCCACTTTAAAGGGAAAAAAAAGTTCAAGAGGTTTTTGCCAATGTCTAGAAGTATCCAAAAGGAAGGTGTCAAGCGGATGGTGGCGATGCCAAGTCAAAGGACAAGAGGCAGTGGGCACAAAAATAATTCCCAGGAAGTTCCGCCTGAACACAAGGAAGAACTTTGCTGCGCAGTGACAGACCACAGGAAGACTATCCAGAGAGGGTGTGGAGTCTCCCTCACTGAGGATATACCAGAACTATCTGGCTTCAACACCATGTTATGTATTCTACAATCACGGTCCTTGATTATGGAGGTGGGACCAGGAGACACACTGTGGTCCCTTCCACAGAAGGGACTGCTCATATACTTTAAGTTAAATGCATGTTTAATTGTTGATACAACTGGTCTTTGTTTTCCATGATAGACAGAAGTAAGCAAAGGTCATCTTCCAAATAATTTCTTTTTCCACTTGTAAAATTTTGAAGACAACTCTTGGGTGCAAACCAAGGTCAGCTAAAGTGATATTGATACAGTTCTGTTGGCTGAAGAGCTCATAGTGGTATAGTGGTGATTCTGTGATTCTGTGAAGAATGGGAGAAAAGCCTTCCCCCCTCCAGCAGGGTGCAGGGGAAGCAGTGTGGGGGCATGCAGAGCCGGGGGATGTGGTGCAGGGGGGAGGCAGTGAGGAGGATGCAGAGCGAGGAATGCAGTGCGGGGGATGCGATGCTGTGCAGGCGAAAGCGCCGTTCCCGGCGGTACCTCTAGGAGGAAACCTCAACCTGTGTTGTGTCTGCGGGAGCTGGGCTTCCCAGCTCTGCTATTCAACTCTCAAACTGCAGCTAAGTTAGTACTTTTGATATTTCTAAGTTTTTTTTTTTTTTAAACATTTATGTAGAACACCACATAATTGCAGAAAAGATAATAGTCACATACCCTAGGGCTTGGTGTACACTTATGTTAAAAGTACAGCTTTTATTGGCAACTAAAGTAATAACCTTTCCATGTCAAATTGCTTTAAATTAAACTTAAAAAAAATGCTGGCTGATACCCACACTTAGTAATTGTCAAACATTAGCATAATGTGGAATACTAAAGCTGCTTAAATCTTGGGTTTAAAAATAATTATTTACTTAGGTAAATTCTCTATTCAAAAGCATAATATTAGATTTTTTTTTTTTAAATACAGTCTCCTTAATGTATATGTTTAAATGCAGACCTGAGCTTGACATGGAAGTGGGGCTGAATGTTACTGTGGTCTCTGTGAGAAAAAAGGGGATTTTGCACCTTTAGCTTGTCCATCCATCATTGCTCACATGGAAAGAAATGTTTTAAGGTTGTACCTCTGAACGCAGAGGTGCTGAGGGTGACATCTGGTGACCCAAGGACAGTGGCCCGCAGTACCTGCTGATTGTAGCCCCTGCTGCAGCCCCGGAGTGCAACATCATGTTTCTGGTGCTGGACGACATCTGGGAGAAGGATGTCTCAAGGATGTGGGTGTGGAAGGCCGAGGGCAGCAGGTCAGTAAAGTGTTTCATCCAGGTGTGTTTCAAATTTCTGCTCCAGCACAGGACTGGAGCACATGTGGTGGGAACCATTCAAATTTCCAGTGTGAAGCAGGAGAGGGGACATTTCACTATGGGATGTGGCTCTCAGGGCTTGCTGCTGTGTGTGAAGAACACTGGACCTTCCAGGTGCTGTGAGGACACAAGTCCTCATAGTTTTCTGCTTTTGGGAGGCCCAGGCTCTGACATGCCCACCTTGCAGAGTCCATCCCCTTGCCAGCACTTTCCTGTGAAGTCCACTACAGCAGAGTCTACTGGTTCTTCCTCAGAAACATGCCAGTGTTTTACTGGAAGTTCAGCAAAGCCTGTTTTGGAACATTTTCATAAAGAAATAAGCAGTGCCCTTATTAGGGCAAAAGGTTTTTTGGCAAATTCCCCCACCTTTGACTAGCAAGTTAGCAAGAGATTGCCCTTCTCACTGCTTTAGGGAGCCGGAAGCTCTGGGAGGCTCTTGCTCTTCCAGCAACTTTTCAGAGGAACAAAATGGAGCAGTAGTACCCAGTTACAAGGAAGTTATGAACTTCAAGAGAGTTAAACAGTTGTTGGGAGGGGAAACA